GTTAGTTAAATGAGTAATTTGCATTTATTTTCTAGCAAATAGCTTGTGGTTTTTCAAAGAAGCTTAATGTGTAGCTGTGTCAGTGTATCCTTATGCTATATTGCCCAAGGTCTGGATGTGTGATATGTGAATGTTATAGTCATAAAAGAGGATTCTCAGGTAACTCGTTTACTTAAATCCTCATTATTCAAATTCAAGAAAAAAAATTAATTTATCCCACCAAATTTAATGTACAGCACATATGCAGATCAAATTTAACCTATTTCTTTCATATGAACTAAAGGTATGGACACTGTTTTAAATCTTCACAAAATTTAAAATGAAGCCAGTTGAATTTCTAAGGGAATTGGCTGTTAACACCACCAATCTTATGAGAGAAAGTTCTAAGCAACTGATGTTTCTAGTTACAATTAGGAAACTTGTGTAAAAACTTTCTACAAAAGATTATTTGATTGAAATAGAGAAAAAGGCTTGGTTTTGTTCTTGACGAGTTGCCCTTTTATGTTCACATTTATGGAATGTGTCTTACGTGGCATCAGGCATGAATGGTGTTCATAATTTAAGTCTGTGGGGAAGACATGAGAGATGCCACACCAAAATTATATTCCTTTATCAACAAAGCACTATGGATTAAGAAAGTCCTCTATCCTCAAGTTACCATGTAATGACAGCAGTTCCTTTATTATGTGAGAAAACTGTGATTTTTTTATCACTTTGTAAAGAGTAGTATTAAATAATTTCATTAATACAGTACGTCTTTCTGGGTTGTCATCAGGATTACTTCACAGTGAAACACTTCACAGAGCTGGGTGAAATCTGTTTCTGGAACTATATCAGACTTTCATATATTTACAGCTCTTGTCTACCAGCTCTTGTCTACAGAGGAATTAATTTTGAGATTTAATTTCTAAGACTAGTATTGTTCAACTTTCTTTTGATGGAGCAAATGGCTTGATTGATTTCAGCCTTCAGAAAAATGACTGAATGCCTTTTTTCTCCCATTAGGTGGCTGATTCTATGTGCTGTCACATGCAGGCTGGTGTTCCCAGAGACAGCAGGCTCCTTGTGCAAGGACAGTCAGAAATACTGCAAGTGAGAATACTGTTAGCCCATTCAGGGGGCTAAGTTGTCATTCAGAAACTTCCTGATGCAAAATCCTGCCTCCAGTAGAGAGCACTCTGTGCACATGCACAGGACAGGTGACGACTGGTTTGGGAGCAGCTCTGAGGTCCTGGCAGACCAGGGAACCTGGATTCAGTAGTGTGTCCACACACTGATGGAGGCATCATTGAGGACAAGTGCTCAATTCCCTTCTGCCCAGGACCTGTAGCTCTAAATCTGGAGCGGGGTGTCCAGTTTTAAGCCTGCACTATGTGAGATACAAACCACACAGAAACCAGCAAAGGATCACTAAGACATTTAAGAGGCTGGAGGAAGGAACCCTAAGAGACTGGCTGCTCAGAAACCTTGGCCAGTAATGCCCAGACTGGTACCTGCTAACAGCTGTGCAGCACAGACGTGGTAATGCTGGAGCAAGGGATATCTAATCTCACTGGTTCGTAAATATTCCCCTTATCCAGACCCATCATGTTGTGTTCTTTGCTAGGTCTCTGCTCTGTGCCTACTACCTACATTCTTGATTGCAGTTTCATCCTCCTAAGACAACTGAGGGCAGCCTTTTTTCAGGCTTCAAATCTTTTGATGTTTAAGTACAGGCTCCAGCTATATCACCTTCTGTGACTGAACAAATAATGTTATTTCTCTAGTTGTGTATTTGAGGAAAGTAATTTATCCAGAACCACTAGTGCTAGAGTGGCATGGAAAGCACAATAAATCACAGACATCAATCACTTTGCAATAATGCCAATGATTATTTCCATACATCTTCTGACAGTAACTCCATCTATTCTTAGCTGCGATATTCACGCTACCACACAAAGTGATATTGACAATACACACCAGATTAAGAGGCAGCATATTTCCCATCTATGAGCCTTTGAAAAGCATTTCGATTTTCACACAGGTCTTTCTATAACTGCACCCACTTCCTGCATCTCTGAGCAGGGAGTGCAATTGATTACTTGGAGCAATTTTGGCAAAGGGTGTAGGGATGCTGCCTGGATGGAATGCGTGCTGATGCTGATCAGCAATGCCATCATGCAGGCCACACAGAGAGCCACAGCTTCCTTCTGAAGCTGCAGCTAGAAGGATCCTGACACTACTTAGATCCAGGGCTGCTCCATCATCATCAGAACCTGCAAGACATCTCACCAGTGATAGGGTCCTCTATCCTGAGAGCCTGACAGGCGCCCCCCGAGCACTGCTCTGGAGCTGGCAGCAGGCATTTTTGTTATTCAAAGATTTGAAAATTAGCATCCCCATGGCCACTTTCTTTTTTCAAAAGCTGCTCAGGTAATGTCTCAGTAACTGAGTTTTCTTATAAATCACATATATTGTCATTTTAACCTCTTATTTTGTGACCACTGCTTAGATAAACATCCTCCCTCCGTGGGTACAAAAGCAATTTTTGTCTAATGCTTTTAGAATCCTTCATCCCTAGGAAAGCAAGATTCCTGGAATCTTGATTTTTCACAAGCCCATCACAGTTGCATCTACTCTCATAAATAAAAAACCAATTAGATTTTTTTTAAAGTAGTTTTCTCTTTACATTACAAAGTTTTAAGATACACTTAAGTCATGTTCTAATATTCCATACCAAACTATTTTTGAATTTCTAACAATGACAGTCCCAAGCTTAAATGGTTTCTGTTTCTAAATTCAGCAGACTCAGGAATTGAGACAGTAGGAATTGTCAATTGTAAAAGGCACTGCATCTCTGCAACTGTTTGCTGTATGTATGCTCAACAAGCTGGTTGCTTCTTCCACAGCAGATCTCTGTGCACCTCTGGACAGTGTTTCATGCTCATCTTCCTTGCCCGTGCTGACCCACCATATTTAATCATGGAGCTCTGTGACTGCACAGACTTCTCATGCTCACTGTTTGTTTCCTAGACTGCACCCTTAAAACCTCTAATTCTGATAGGTATTCTAGCTTTAAGTTAATCTTACAGATGTTGTTTCAGACAAACTACATACTCTCTACATTATCCTAACCCTTTGAAATGACAGTGAGTTATCTTAATTAATAACCTTGTTCATTAATAGATATAGATGACAATGGTAATTTGTTATGACAGTGTGATTGCAATGTGCGAGCACATGTACACACATGTAAGGGGCTTAACACACAGAGAAAGATTCATATAATTATTTTTAAAATTATTTATTCCTTATGAAGAAAGTAGAAAGAGGATCTTCCATAACCCCTCCATATTTGTAGTAACTAACACAGAATCAGGTTGCTGCATTCAATCTCCTACATATAGACCACTACAAAATTCGTGTGATTAGGAGGAAAATCACATACACCCAGTCACAAAGCACGGAATTTTATCCCAAACACTCATAAATCTGTTGTGTCTGCTCTATTTTAAAGGGCAAAACATACACTATTAAAAAAAAAAAAGAAAAGATAAAGCACAGAATTTTCATTGTAATGTTCCTTTGGATTATCCCTTGAAACTCTCATGTGTCCCTGATTAGGACATACCAAAAAAATCTGGGAAAATTGATTAATTGTGCATAAAGATTAAAAAAAAAAAAGGAAATGCTTTCTAGTTCATTAAAAAATCCCAAACATCTTCTCACATGGAATGTTTCTGACATGGCTGTGTTGATCATCACTCAAGTATCCCACACTGAGGGCAGTTACAGCTGTATGTGTGCTATGCAATCATTTATCTAAGTACCATGAAAAAATTGTGAGATACCTGAATTTCTATGATGATAGGAGAAAAGGAAAAAAAAGTCCAGAATAAAGCAAATAAATGCCCCAGCAAGAAATCCAAGTGAAGTTTCTGAACATTCACCCAATAATAAAAACATGAAAAGACAACCTGAAAGACATCAATATGGAGAACACAATTCCAGCTTTAAAATGTTGCTTTGCTTTTCATAAAACTATTTGCAACTGTGTAGAAAATTTCAGGACAGGTATAATTCACATCTGCAAATGGCCACAACTATTTGGGAAACTTGATAGTCTGTGTGTGTGCAATAAAGTCCTGAATGATCCTATTTAACATTTCTTCATGGAATCAGAGGCATATCCAGTTCAAGCTAATGACTTCAGTGCAACAGAAAGCTAAAGATGCTGAAGTCTGTTGTGGTTGGTTAGTAAGTAAGATCACAACAAAGAAACAACAATTCATATGCAGAAGTGTTTGTTTGCTTCTAAGAAATTTGGTCTAGGCTGAAAATTCCTAGGCATTGTTTGTAGAAAAATACAGGGGTGTTGCCAGGATTTTTAGGGAAAAAGCCTCTGCTAGGATTTTTCCTGTCCTGAGGAGCTGAGGGCCTCAGGAAAGAAATGTAAACAATAACTATCTGCTGCTGTGGAGTGCCACAGGTGAATCTTCCATTGGTTTATGTGGCTTGTTTTCACTCAGTGACCAATCACAGCCACCTGTGCCAAGGCTGTGAGCAGTCACAGGATTTTTGTTATTCATTCCTGTTCTATTCTGTCTTTGTAGCCTTCTGATCTCTTTCTCTCTGTTCTTTTAGTATAGTTGTAATGTAGCATTTTAGTATAATATATAACATAATAAATCAGCCTTCTGATCAATATGGAGTCAAGCCTCGTGTCCTCGTCCAAGGGGCCCAAGTCAAAGCAACACAGGGGCACTCTCTTCTCTGTACTGTCTTTCTGTCAGCCTCCTACTGTACAACCTACAGTATGTTTTCTTTGGTCAGGAAGCGTCACTGTAAAGATCTCCCCTGAATATGTTTGCTAAATGTGTGAAACAGCTGTGCTGATACACTAATGTAGTGTTACATATTTATTTACAGAAGGTATTTGACCATCAGATATATTGGAAAAGATTGTACTCTAAAGGCCTCTGGTTGAAAGGAGAGAAAAACAACAAATCAAAACATTCAGATTGTCCCTCCAAATCACTTCTTTATCGCAGCTAGAATCGAGGCAATCCCACTTGTATTTCTAATTCAGGACTATAGTTGGAAAAATGTTAAGAATTTGAGTATGTGCAGTGAAATATACGCACATTTGCCTTGTCAGTTTTCCCTTCTGACAGTAGTCTGGCAGGAAGGACAAGATTCTTTCTTCAAGTGAAATGGAAAACACCAAAAGGTTTATACAGTGCTACAATGCCTAATCCTACTACTGAGCACTTTTACAATTTGCTTCTTCCAAGAGCCATTCAATTCCATTTAACAATCCATCTAAAGTTGCAGCTACAGTGTCCTGCATCTGTGAAAATAAAGTTAAAAAGTTATTGTATTAGAGGTAACAGCAAGAGAAACACTTGTTAGATAGACACTCTGTGTCTCTCTGTAAAGTCAGAAACACTTACATAAAATCTAAATCTTTATCACTAGTGTAAAGGTCCCTTAGACAAAAAAGGTTTTGTAAGAGTAAGAAAATAAACAAACAAAAAAACCCCTCATGTTAAGAAAGCTTTCACTCTTAGTATCAGAGTGAATTTTTTTTCAATTGTTTAATCAGCTGTTCTGGAAGATTACATTTACTTTACAGATGGGAATCCACTTGAAAAATCTTCTTGTTACTCTTAAAGCAAAAATGCCAAGAGCTTTAGACTTCTACACATATCATTAACATTCAGATTTTGTAATATCCCATCCAGTAGCTATTATCAATGGTATGTTTTGTGAAAAGCCTACAAACATTTTCCTTATGAAAACAAAGGAATTACCTCAAATCAGGATTTTTTCTGATTAAGTTATTCCTCAGCTACACAACATCAACAAAAATTAATTCCGTGTGGTTGAACCATGCTAACAGATACTGTGCTTGACAAACATAAAAAACCAGGTTCAGGACCTCATATCCTCAGGTAGAAAACTGATCTGTCAAAAACTGAAGAAATCACATCAACTGAGTGACAGTAAACAGTCTTTTAAAAATGTCCCAAAAATCTATCTTTTGTCCAAGGCTGTGAATCAGGATATTTAGATTTAAATGAACTGAAGCTTGCTTACTCCCTTCAAGACCATAATTTGTCCTTTCTTACAATCTAACTCCATCTTAAGTTGCTTGTGCACTTTTGGGCAAGTCACTTAGCTCCTTGTTTTCAGTCAGGCTAATAATTCATCTTGGAGCACCAGAGAAACAAAATCTTTCACTTAAATGGAAAGCTCATATACTAGTGTTGAAAGCTGCACACTTGCTTAGGTAGGTATAGTGAAGGAAGCTGAGAGCTTAAATTAAATTTAAACCACAGAGAAACAAAAAATAAAGGTTTAAGAGCAAGTACCATCCAGGGCTGATGCAGCAGATTTAGTTGCAACTGATGTGCCATGTAAACACATGGAATTCTTTTCACACCAACGTGAGACACACAGGACAAAACGAGCAGAGGTCTGTTGGGAGGCCCAAGGGCTGGATCAACCATTGCCAAAATACGAGCCAGCTCCTCCTGACGATCGTGTTCTAAGAAACAATTTTTAACATATGAGTCTTAAGAATATGCAAAAACAAGGGGTCTTAATTTTTTTTGTTTGTTTGTTTGTTTTTATTTCAGAGCACATTAGACAGAGGGCTGGAAGGGCCAAATGATCTTGTTCTGCTTATCACAAGACTTATTCATCTGCACTTATGTTACACAGATATTGATGACATTTAGATGTTAAAGATCTCCACAGATTCTAGAGGCAGGCTATTTAAATCCTAACATCAGAGTGTTTTCTGAGTACCTCACAGAGATCAAAATTACAACAAGCCATTCAGAAATACTCATACACTGCAGAATCAGCAGCCCTTCCCTATTGAATGCACTTTGCTCTTAGTGTATCCCTTTGAAGTTTTTTACCTGTCTCTTTTCTGAGATAGCCCTTTTCCTCCATTCAAAGCTGATTAATGTAAAGACAATTACTGTAATTGTTATTTGCTTTATCATCTTACAGGACTAAACTGATTTAGACTAATTGCATTTTTTACAGTTTTCCTGGTGAAGGTTGTTTTCAGGCTATTACAGCACAAACAATGTATTTTCAAATTTCTTCTATTCATACCCATGGGTGTGGGTTTTTTTGTTGTTTTTTAATCCATGTAATTTCCCACATGTAATTTAGATAGCAACCATATCAGTATGTGCCATAAACAAAACAAGGGGCGACAATCCCTAACATGCTGATGAGTATCTAAAATAGGAGACTTCTTCAATAGGGTAAGACATGAAGAAATAGCAGATTTTGAAAGGATCAGAACATGGATTTTGATGTGTTGCATATTCTTTGTAATCTAACACACTAGTTATAAAATATACATAAAGATAAATCCCTTACCTCTATGAGCTTCTGCATTAGCAACATAAATGAATCCATCAACTACTTCGCACACCTTCCTCACTTGAGCTATGACACTGTAGTGCATGGCTTGCTGGTTCCCTTCTGCGCTGTTCTCTTGGTAAAACATCTTATTCACAGCAACAGCTTGCTCCTCCCTTGCTCTCCTCCTTTCCACACTGAAAAATATCTCAGTAGTCAGGTTAACTGAGAATGCCAAAACAGAATCTTGAAAGTCTAGGTGGCTCAGGAAAGGGTCAGGAAAATGTGCTGAGCCAGAAAAATGGTTTCATTTCTCCCTGTCCCCTCCTGCCCTCCTTTGTTTCTGAGTGCACAAACAGAGATGGTTGGCAAACTGCAAGATGCTTATGAAAATACATTCCAGGATGAGTTCATAGAGTGTTTCAACAGGGACTCAACCAAGGTATTAAGAGGGATAGAAGCACCTGTAATGTACCGGTTGTACACCTTTGGTGCATATACTGTTTGGAAAAGCTTTATTACATCCATGTGACAACTTAGGGGTTGAAAAAAGAAAGGAAAAGGAAAGGCATGCAATTAAACTTCAATTTATAAGAGATATCCATGCAAGAGAAAATGCACATGACAGTCACATGACAAGAATAGGAAGAAAAGTCTGAAATAAATTAGAAATTGTACTTTTCATTTGGAGAACAGATCTTATCTTACCTTGTGGTGGAATACAATGTCACAATATTGAATTTTTGATTGTTGTTAAACTGAAAACTGACTCCTGATCCAATTCCTACAGGGAAAAAAATGAATCTATGAGATTACAGCTATTTGGCTACTGAATACAATTAAGTGGTAGTTAAAAAATTCCAGTGGAGCCACAAAATGAATATATTCAACCTAGATATTGCTGTTAGGGGTAGCAGATTTACTATTTTACAATTAAACTTTATACATGCTCCAATTGATCAGACTTTTAATTTAATGAAAATCTAGTCAATGGTATTAAAACTATTTCTGTATTTCTGATTATTAGATTTGAACCTATAAATTTAAATCAGAAAAGAGGCAGACTTGTATTTATTAGCTGAAACTGGCACAGAAAAGGCTCCAGTCTGCTTATGACAAGCTCCATTGAAAAGGACATATGAGAGAAATAAAAAACTCACTAAAAATAATTGTAATGCTTCCTATAAATACAATTAATTATTTGAGTTCAGCTGTGATGAAATAACTGTTCGTTATAAAGTAACACATTTTTTTCTCTGGCCTGGACTGAAGTCAAATTAGACTTTTCAAAGCTACTCTTTAAAACATCAAAAAAACCCACACCAGCTCCTTTAATTCTTCTAAGTAAAATTTACATAATTTGACACCAGGATACTGAATCATATAAGGATCAGCCTTGAGTTCCTATGTAAAATCACAAATGTGGTTTTTAGCCACTTACTGCAAGCAGTACGGAAAGAAAGGCCTGTCTGCATGTATTGATCACAACAGCAGTAGTAACATGGAATTTTGGATGACAATAGAAGTACAAGGAGCAAAATGATTCTTCTGACAATGTCCAAATTTAATCGCAAACTCACTGAAGCTATTAGTTTGTCCCAAATGATTGCTGCATTTATCCTTCTGAACAAACCAGAAATCATTTTGTTTTTTTACCATTATTCTACTGAACTTTAAGAATACAACAAAAATAATTCCTTTTATTAATTTCTTCCTCGAAGTTTTTTGTGTTATATCTTTTTACAAAATAAGAAGGCCAAAAGCCAAACCATCATTACCATGAATTTGTCTATGAGGCAGGCCAGCTACCAGCAGAATTTCTGGGCATGTCATCATCTTTTGCACCAAAGAGCTGTCCAGCTGTTCCAAACCTGGCCCAAACATAGCAAAGCGAGGTTCTGCCTGAGTGACCAGTGATTGCAAAAAGGAAGTCACAGTCCCATACCGGGGACGGCTCGATTTCAAACTTCTTCTACCCTGAGGACAGCTCCTTTTATATCTGTTTAAAATAGATGCAACTAGAAATTAAACACAAAATACAAAAGAGGTATTAATCAAACAAATTCATTTAGGTCCCACATTTCTTTTGCTTTGCTACTGGTACAACTCAAAGCATAGGTAAAAAACTATAAAGTTCCAAGCACCAGTACAAAGTGGGCAAAAGCATCAGTTCTTTTGAAGTCCAAATATTGACTTTTTGGACCTCAGTACACTTCTATCTACAGATCTTTCAGTTTATTTAAAAATAAAATAAAAATCGTTAATTCCCCATCCTCACTGAATACACAATATAGATAAAATAGCATCAAAGCAGAAGAGTCACATTAAAAATATAGTTTTAAAAATGAGTCTTGTGAGTGCATTTTAAACTTTAATTAACTCTTTTGTGTTTATAACAAGTAATCCCCTGAAAAAGAAACATTTTCCCTGTAGGTAGAGAGCATGCAAGCTGTGGAAGAAGACAAGTCTGCAAACTCATATGCTCATTTGGTGTGGATGCTAGAAGGCATGGAAAGACTGGCAATTGAGAAGAAAAAAAACAGTCAGACATCCTAGAGCAGCAGCTTCAGTTTGCTTCTACATTCATGGTAGGCTGGTGCTGAACAAACCTCTTCAAATAAGCATCAAATGTGGGCTCCTTTGTACCCACACGGAAATGTTTCAGTTGAAATCAGCAGAACAGCTAAGTGCACGCAGACACAATGGAATCACTGACAGATGGTTTCAAAGTAGTGATTCAGACCTAAATAGATTTAAATTAAATTTCAAAATCAGTCCATATTTTGCATGTCAAATACTGGGTGTACTGTTCCCACCTATTAAAAGGGGATGAAGGGAATGGAGATTGCAGAAGTTAATGCACTTACCACAAAACAACATGTTAAGAACCACCTTTGGAAAATGTAACTGCAAATAAATCAAAAATCCCAAACAAATCTACAGACCACTACTGCAAATCAAGGGAACTGAATGAAGTTTAGAAAAGAAATCACTACAAACTAATGTACTTGTCTTCTCAGTCATCCAAACATATTTATTGTGTTGCTATGCTTTTCAACTATACTAGCTGAAACCAGTCTTTGTCTTACAGTCTTTGACAATCACACCTAAAACAATACAACTCGTTATTCTGTGCACATTCTGTGCTCTTTTTTATTATTAGGTCTTCCAAATAAGAAGAAAAACAATGAAGATTCATTTCACTTGCTGTTGTTTGAAGACTTCTTAGTACTTTTATGAAAATAACTGCCGTGGCACTTCGAGCAAAGTACACTTCTTTATCAAGATCAACAGTATGCAGTATTTCTGTGCCACAGAGGACAGTTTACAAAAAGCTGTAATTTTTTTTAGACCATTAGTCTTGTCTTTCTTTACAATGTTTTACATTCTTGTTGAGTTCCAAACAGAAAGAGCTGACCAGACCATGGCGCAACAGGAAATTGTATTTCCAAAATAAACACTAGATTTGAGACACATCAAAATTTAAACAGCAGCTTACAGCAGAGATTTATTTCTGTAAATATGAAACATGCCTGCGGGCTGAGTATTACTGCTGTAGGCATAGTTGAAGTAATGTAAAGAATACAGAGATACTTACACTGACATGTAATCATACAGTGCATTGTCGCTGACCTCCGAAAAGGCTTTATTAAAAATCTCCTCATCTGGAAGTGATTTCCAATCAACAGATGACCAAGAGGGGAGATCCCGCAGGAGAAAATACCTCCATAACAACGGGTCTTGCACAGCTGCCCTCCAGTAACAACTCGTGCTTCCTAAGCGGCACAAATCTTGGGGGGAGAGGAAGGACATGATGTTCAGCTGCACGTCGATCTGAAAACCATTGAGAGCAGCGATTTAACGACTCCCGAACTCAGCAGCGAAGAAGGCCGGGCTGGGATGCAGCGCCTTGGCCCCGCTCCCCCCCGCGCCGCCGGGCCCCGCTCACCGGCAGCGTCTGCAGGGCGCTCAGAGCCTCGGCCTCGGATGCGCGCTTTTAATGCAACAGAATATACACTTCGGGTGGGAAAAGGGAAAAGGAAAGAAGTCCGTGAGGAAGAGTGTGCTCCTATGCCGCAAGTTTTCTTCTGGCAAACACGATGCAGCGGGTCTTAGTCGTGGGGTTTCATGAAGTAATGCAGCATTTGTTTTGCAGTTGTTGTGTTCCACCCTTGACCTTTTAAGGGTCCCTCACATACGGCCACATACTTTGTTAACATGATTCTCCCTGTTTCTTGGAAATCCAGCGATATGCTCTGTGATCTGCTGCCCAGGTCACTGTTAGACACAGGATCTACTGACTCAAGGCTTTCCTGCTTCCCTTCTCCACAGTGCTTCAGTCCCCAGTAGCACATTTCTCCACTGTACATCATTGCCAGTAAGTGAGTGTCACTAAATATACCTGCAAAAATAATTCAGATCAAGTATTTTATTGTTCTGCTATAAGCAAGTACACAGCTTGTTCATTTTTTTTCAGTAACAATGGGGAAGAAAATCCAAAGGACGATATAACTATATGATTTTATAAATATATAATGCCAGAAGAAAACATGGATCAAAACCATGCTCATTTCTCTGTCCAGTTTGGCCCTCCATAATAAAATCTTTAACACTGCCATATAAATACTATTTCTATAACTTTGTTTGCCTAGTTATGTCACAGAATTTCAGTATTTCTCTACAGCCTCTTTAGCACAGGCATGACTGCACATATTTACTTTGGAGTATTTCTGTGCCTCCCACAGTTTAAGCCTAAAAGATACTGTCTGAGGTCATCTTAACTCAGATTAACCAGCAGCAGCTTTATTGGTATTTGAATTCAAAGGCACATGTGTGTTTTTCACAAAAAAAAAAAATCCTGCTAAATAAATCCACAACTTGACTTTACATTATGGAGCTATATAGCAGCAATGCCACTTTCAGATGAAATCAAACTAGAAGGTGCTGCATATCCTGCTAGAGTCAGAGTAGAGCTGTTTTGGAGTATGGTCAATGTGGACATCATAACCTCAGCACCAGCTGGTTTACCTCACAAATCCCCTCCTGCTGTATCACCTACCTGCACCGCACTGATGCAGCCTAAGTTCCTCCTAGAAATGCTCAATAGGAATGAAACTTACATAAAGCTAAATAAAGTGGTGACAGAGAGCATGTGCCAAATCTAACCAAATCTGCATACAGTTTTTACCTGCATGACATCTGTAATTGTGTTTGTACCTGTGCTCTCCTGGAGCTAAAAGGGAAGATCAGTATGAGAACTTCTGGCACCCTCTGCAGTCATATTTGTGCCTTAAACATCTATCAGTTGTGAACTGGGTGGTTCACAGTAGAATACTAGCAGTGTAAAACACTACTGTGCATGAAACACTCATTGCCTCAGTTCACCTCCCTCCAGTGCACTCATAAAACACCAGGAAAACAAGCACTGGCACCTCCTAAAATTCACAAGTCAAAAAGAAAGGGGAGGGGGGTGCACTCTTGCCTGCTTATTTGCCTCATTTATTATCTTCTGGTTCTAAAAAGTGTCAAGTCTTGAACATAAATTAGGTCAAACAATAAAAACACGCAAAAAAGCATTTCACAAAGTGAAGCAGTTATTAAGAGGAGTGGCTTAAAAGGTTTTTTGGAGTTATTTTTTGGGGTTTTTTTACCTTCACTGAGTAATCTAGCTGTGTCTTTATCTTGAAGTGAGATATCTTCATCTAGCTGAAGAGGGCATCTAAAGCTAAGCATCTTCATCAGGTACTGAACTCCATCATTAAGACACTGAATACAGTTAAAAATGAGGAAAAAAATAAGTTCTCATTAAATTAATGATACGCAGAAAGACTTCTTCCTATGAAGCCCCAAAATCCTAACTGAAGAAAAAAACAAAAAAAAACCAAAAACAAACAAACAAACAAAAAAAACCACCCAAGAACAACAACAACAAACCTAAAAAAAAAACCCCAAAAACTCAGCCATATATTAAAAGCGAAGAGTCAAACTTTAAAGCTGTATTCACAAGCTCATAGAACATTCCCATCTCCTTTACCTTTTTAAATGTGGCAGTGTTTTCTTGTAGCCATTCACTCCTTTCTTTTGCTGTGTGGCAATACATGTAAAGCAGGGCTCCTTTTCTCCAGTAAAGACATTCTAACAACTCTGCACCAAGGATGTTGATGGGCTGAAATAAAATCCAACAAACTGGTCTAACACAAAACCAAACCACCTGAAGTACTCATATGCACTGTCACACATGCAAACACTGTGTAAATCTCTTACTTCAGGGGCTGCGCTTGACAGCAACACTCAGAGAGACAAGCCTAGCCTAACCTAACACTGTAGGTCAAACAGAAGTGTTAACTGCCTATGGAATCATGAAACGCTAGCAAGAGAAATTCTGAGCACACAACAAGCCATTTGAAACAATATTTTCAGGAATCCCTATTTAAATATCAAAAAGACTTGAAAATGTTTCAAAATACTTTAAATTATGCCCATCCAAAATGCAAATACTATGTCCCATTTAAGATTTTTTGTTTTTAAATAATGAAATAATTTGCCCTCTGGCTACTCACTTCTTTTATGCCGCATTCCCTCACTAGGTCTTCTGGTTCTGAAAGAACAGAAATAAGTTCTTTAAGTTTTTGCAAGGCAAATTCTTCTGGAAAATCTTCATCCACAAGCTGGTTTTCCTCAAAATATGTAATGTCTAGGACAGCCTATGAAAACAAGAACATATACAAAGCAGAAATGCTACCGTCAAAATAATCAAATGGTGGCGTGTTTTAACACAGAAAATTCATTTGTGTACAACACATTACAATTTGAAGGTATTTTTTAACATTTAGTTTACAAAAGGTGCAAGTTAGAAGTATTGAAGGATTGGTGATTGTGAATGTCAACCAAACCCCTTTCTGTCCCTAAGGTAACAGCTGAAATAAAATGATTACTCCAAGTTATCCGAGTCAAAAGCAGTTCTGCGCTTCACAGGTGCCCACCTCACACCCCCAAGTAACGGAGCCGCCTTTCTCCCACACCCTCCCTTCTCACACCAAACCGTCTCCCACACCCTACACACGTTTTCTTCAAAGGCAGTTTGATGTCCCTAACAAAGTACCTGGGTATAGAGCTGAAAAAGCGTGGAAGGATGTTCTTTCCCTTCCTTGCAGAGGTCCTTTAACTTGTCCAGATTAGCAGAGCCTTTCGCTAAGAAGGTATCTGAGGGAAGAACACATGAGCACTCAGCAGGAGCCTTATCAATCCCCTTTTCCACACGGCTTTATCATCCATCCTCGGGGCATCTACAAGAGCGGCTGAATAATACACCACTGAAGCAGGCCGGTCATCCTGTCAGACAATTTAAACACGAACAGACGTTCGTGTTTAAATTAAAGCCATCCGTGACCAGGCTCTGATGCTCCCAAGCGCACACGCCGTCCGCGAAGACGCCCTCGCGGCCGCCCGTGCCCTCGGGGCCACCCGCCCCGCGCCGCCCCCGTCCCCGTCCCCGTCCCCATACCCGTCCCCATACCCATCCCCATCCCCAGCCGCCATGGCCGGCCCGCGCGGCCCCTCCGCGCAGGCGCAGGAGCGCGAGGGGCGGGAGCGGGAGGGGAGCGGGAGGGGGCCCTGAGGGTGTCGGTGCCGCCCGACCCGGCCCTGCCCTGCCCGGGACACCCGGCCCCTGACCCCGCAGGACACCGCCGGCCCGCCCGCCCAGAACGGCGGGGACTGCTGTTCTGGGCTTGTGCGGGCGTGAAAGCTCTTTCATAACAGAAGGGTGCGGCGTCTGCAGTGCCCCGTCCGTCCCTTCGGGAGACACCCTGTGTTGACAGAATTTACGGAGTCGTTGTACAGCTTGGAAAAGACCTCTGGTTCCAGCCTATGACCGAATATCACCACGTCGATCAGACCGTGGTACTGAGTGCCACATCCAATCTTTCCTTAAACAGTTACAGGGACAATGACTCCACCACCTTCCTGGGCAGCGCATTCCCATACCTAATCACCCTTCCTGTGAAGTAGTTTGAAACAATGTTTTGTGAAACAGTATATTATGTCCAACCTAGACCTCCCGTGGCACAGGTTGACACTATTTCCTCTCTTCCTGTCGCTGGTTGCCTGGAGAAGAGCCCAACCCCGCCTGGCCACAGCCTCCTCTCAGGCAGCTGTAGAGAGTGACAAGGTCACCCCTGAGCCTCCTTTTCTCCAGGATAAACACCCCCAGCTCCCTCAGCTGCTCCTCACAGCACTTGTGCTCCAGACCCTGCCCCAGCTCCTTCTCTGGACTTGCTCCAGCGCCTCGATATCTTTCCTGAATTGCAGAGCCCACAGCAGAACTCGAGCTGTGGCCTCAGCAGTGCCCAGTACAGGGGACAATCCCTGCCCTGGCCCTGCTGCCCACACCATGGCTGATCCAGGCCAGGATGCCATTGGCCTTCTTGGCCACCTGGGCACACCCTGGCTCATGTTCAGCTGCTGTCACAGCACCCCCAGGTCCTTTTCCACTGCAAAAATTTGACTGGGGTTTTGCCCCATCAATGAATGCTTTCCAGCCTCACTGCAAAATAGGTGTTGCCCATCAAACAAACTGAAACAAGGGCAGCAAAGATCAAGTCCAAACTTACTTTTCAATAAACAGTTTGGGGTTTTTAAACTACATTTTAGCACTTAATTAGTTAAAATGCAGAAGTACAGATGTGAAAATACATTACATAATCCTGAAACTAAATACCTTTGATTAGAGAAGTGAAGCACTTGCTCCAACATTTTGTCCAGCTTTTAATAACACCTTACTGAACTTCATAAATAATAAAGAGTTTACATACATGAAGGGAAAATTGTGAGCTTTCCTTTTAACAATATCTTGCTACTATCTGACAGTCAATCATCAAATATTTTGTGTTGTCCAGTTATAAAAGTGCCACATTTTACTATGTTTCCCTAGCCTTCTTCATATCTTTACTTGCCTGGAAAAAGCTAATACCTCAGTGCCTATCCTAGTAATGAAAAACAAACTCACACAGTATTCAGAATTTTGTCAACTTTAATTTTTTGAAAAAATAATTGACTGAAGACCTTTTCCCATTTTGAGGTTATATGCTGTTCATTCTGTCATTGCCTGTGTTCCACCAAAGTACCTAAAAAGCCAAGCAAGCAAGCAAGCAAAAACTCACCAAGCCTCCCCTTGCCCTCATCTCCGAATATAAAATGTCATTTACTGGAGTACTTTAGAAGTGAAAAGCTGTCTACTTAAAGACAGAGTTTCTTTTGCTGTTGTCTGTCTTATGTCTTATGAAAGAGTTGCCCAACAGGTTAAATACAACAAAAAAAAGTAGAACCTAAAAAGAATTGTGTTTTC